CCCATGCCAAACCAAACAGAGAGCTGGTGACACTGCTAGGGCTGTCCACCCACACAGGAGTCCTGAACTAGATGAGAGGGAGGGGCAGGGAGGGTAGGCACGGTCCTGAGCACCACTCACTTACTGCATGCCAAGGGCCAATGTGTCGCCATGTTTCATCCTCACTACAAAGCCTGTGAGGTGGGCATTATTACTCTCATTGTGGGAAGGATAAAACAAACTTAGAGAGGCTGAATAACGTGCTCAAGTTCTGGGCCATTAAGCGCAAAGTTTCACATCCAGGTCTGCCTGGCATTGGCCCCACACTCTTTCCACTACACCGACTTGGGTCTCTGTCATCTTGGAGCCTGCGAATGGTCTCAGATTTTCCTCCCTTGCAGATTTCTGAGTCAGAGCAAGAGTAGTAAATTGCACAAAATCAGTTCCTACCTTACTTTCTTCCCCAGCCTCAGGATTTTTTGACTGAAGGGAGAAAAGGGATTCCTAGAACTCCTTGAAATTACACTCAACACTTGTGGGTATAGGTGGATTTTAATTTTTTTTTTTTTTTTTTTGAGACGGAGAGTTTGTTCTGGGTAGAGTGCAGTGGCGTCATTATAGCTCACAGCAACCTCAAACTCTTGGGCTCAAGCAGTCCTCTAGCCTCAGCCCCCTGAGTAGCTGAGACTATAGATACCCACCACAACGCCCAGCTAGCTTTTCTATTTTTAGTGGCGATGGGTCTCACTCTTGCTTAGGCTGGTCTTGAACCCCTGCGCTCAAGCAATTCACCTGCCTCAGCCTCCCAGAATGCTATGATTACAGAGTGAGTCACCATCTGGTCAAATTTTTTTTTTTCTTGACAAGACTTTCTATGGCCTTCATTAGGTTCTTAAAAGGATTCATGTCTTTTAAAAGGTTAACAACTACAGTTGTAGACTTTATTTTGTCTCATTCTCTCTTTTGACAGATGAGGAAATAGAGTGCTTCAACTCTATTTTCTTGTTCAAACTTTTGCTGTTTATTCTGGAGCAACAGCAGCACAACCTTGACAGTTCTCTGAGTAGCTTCTCCTATTTCCCTAGTGCTGTGGAAACATCCTAGGGGGCCAAACAGCTGGGTGAGTGGCCAGCACTACATTTTTCATGGAGAAATGGAGAGTCCTTAAGGAAGGGAGGTCTGGCTCTTTGCCCAAAGTGTCATGAACAATTAACATACTTTGTACAAAGCAAGGCCACGTGAAAAGACTGGATACCAAAATTACATGTATGATAATTCAGAAAAGTGACTCTTTAGAATAGGTAGATTTTTTTTTTTTTGAGATAGAGTCTCACTTTGTCACCCCTGATAGAGTTCCGTGGCATCATAACTCACAGCAACCTCAAACTCTTGAGCTCAAGTGATTCTCTTGCCTCAGCCTGACTACAGGCACCCGCCATAATATCCTGCTATTTTTTAGAGACAGAGTCTCACTCTTGATCCAGCTGATCTCGAACCCATGAGTTCAAGCAATCCACATGCCTTGGCCTCCCAGAGTGCTAGGATTACAGGCATGAACCACTATGCCCAGCCTACACTAGGTAGATTTTGGGAAAGGATCCGGTGTTAAATTCCTGGGAGGAAACTTTCGAAATGCAGAAGACAGGGTGTTCCTGAAGGACTGAGCAGTGATAGTAACCACTGATATTCTGTGTACCGTCTGACTAGCAGTGGGTAGAGAGGAGGGGGACAAGTGGGCCTGTACAAGGCAAATTCTTTTGCATGGGAGGGGTAGGGCTTGTATTCAATAATGTAGAAGCTATTATGTAAGTTCATTTTCTGGGATAAAAAAAAGTTTTTTTTGGAGACAGGGTCTTGCTCTGTCTTGTAGGGTAGCACCACCATGGCTCACTGCAATTTGAAACTCTTAGGCTCTTCCTGCCTCAGCCTCCCCAGCAGCTGGGACTACAGGTACCCATCACCAGGCCCAGCTAAGTTTTCTAATTTTCGTAGCGATGGGAGCTCACTCTTGCTCAGGGCTTGAACTCCTGGCCTCAAGCAATCCTCCCATTTTGGCCTCCCAAAGTGCTAGGATTTCAGGTGTGAGCCATCCTACCTGGCCCATTTTCTGGGATTTTAATGTGAAGTACTTTGTAACTGGGCATAAAATGCACAGAAGCAGTCTATAAAATCAAATAGGTGAGTAACCATGTAGTGTTTCTTTTTTTTTTTTTTTTAATTTTTTTTATTTCTTTTTTTTTTTTTTTGAGACAGAGCCTCA